GTGTTGACAAAACTTGACATCTACCCGCAGAAGACTAAAATTATGTTCACATCACTCACCTTGCACAAAAATCAACTCAAATGGATCAAAGCCCTTGATTTAAAATCCCAAATTCTGAAACCATTCGAGGATAACATAGAGAAGACACCTCCAGACATAGCCATAGGCAAGAACTTTTTGAACAGGACTCTAGTAACAGAGAATAATTCTAAGAATCAACAAACCAGACAGAATTAAATTAAGGTTTCTACACAGCAAAGGAAGCTATCAGCAGAGTGAACAGTAGGCCACAGAATAGAAGGACATACTTGCTGTTTATATTACAGATCAGGGAAAGAGGTCTTTGCATGTAGAGCATACAAAGATTGTAAAAATTTAAACCGACAATGACCCCTGCTAGTCAACAAATGGGCTAATGAACCAAACAGACACTTCTCAAAAGAAGAAACATGAATGGCCAATAAATTGTTTGGCATCCTAAACCATCAAAGAAATGAATATTAAAGCACAGGTTGAGTGTTGTGGAATATTCCTATACACTGTGTGAAAACGTATTGCAGTGATGGGTGTAATAAGAAGCCGATTGGCCAATATTTGGCAGGAGATACAGGCGGACTTCAGGGCAGAAAGAGAACTCTGGGAAGAAGAAAGGTGGAATTGTCAGACATTCAGAGGAAGCAGGACATGCAGGGGGAGAGGTAAAAGCCACAAGCCATGTGGCAGCATGTAGATTAATAGAAATGGGTTACTTTAAGATATAAGAGCTAGTTAGCAACAAATCTAAGCTAAGGCCGACATTCATAATTAATAAGGTGTTTCAGTGTCATCGTTTGGGAGCTGGCAGGACAGAGAAAGACTCGTTACAGTTGAGATTCCCACTTACCCGAGTCAGAACGATTGCTGTTCAAAGCACCAATTCAATGCCTGGTGGCAGCACTCAGGAGGTAGGGACAGGCAGATCTCTGTGAGTTCGAGGCAAGCCTGGTCTACAGAGCAAGTTCCAAGACAGGCTCTAAAGCTATGTAGAGAAACCCTGCCTCAAAAAACAAAACAAAAAGAACATAAATGCAAAGGGTACAAGAAAAGAAGAGCTCTTATCTGTTGTTAGTGTGAGTATATACTGGGCGTCCACTACGGAGATCAGTATGAAGGTTTCTCCAAAAAGTACAAATAGAGCTATCATACAGCCCAACTATACTGCTCCTGGACATATATCCAAAGACCTCTGCAAGTTAGGCAGAGATTCGCTCACATCCACATACATAGATGCTCAGTTCACGATAAGAAAATGGACTCGGACTAGATGTCCATCAACAGATGAATGACTAATGAGAATGAGATTCATACTCACAGTAAAATTTTACTCATGGGCAAAGAAAGATGGAATTATGGAACTTGCAGAAAAATGGGTGGATTTGGAAACTATTACATTAAGTAAACAACTCACTCAGAAAGACAAATACTGCATTAACTTTTCATAGGCATGTCCAAGGTTTTATCTTTTAGATGTGTACTTATGTGGGAGTGGGTGTAGATATAGGTATGAGACCAGAAAGGGGCCATAAAAGAGAAGAAGAGGTTTTAAGGAAGAAGGATAACAGAGTCCATGATCTGAAAGTAGAAAGGGGCTACCGGGGACTGAACAGGAGAAGGGCAGGATGGGGGTGTAGCCGGGAGATGGCGGAGAGGCAGGAGGATGGACCAGCTTTGCAAACAAAGCTAAGTTTGAAACAACACAATGAAACCTATCACTCAGTACGCTAATTTAAAAACGAGCAAACGGTGGGCAGGAATCAAAAGTGGTGTTTCCCAAACGCTGTAGCCCTTGTGGAATTCTGTCCCTGCTGTACACAGGTTCTCCTTTTCTGTATGGGTCTTTGATGGTGAACCAGCCCCAGTGGGCACACAGATTGTTCCTCCCAGTCCCCACGACGGTGTTCTCATTTTCCTGCAGACTTGTGTTTGCGTCCTTGTCCCAGTCAATTTCTCCCCAGTGACTTCCCTGCAAGGTGATTTCCTGTTTGGTGGATTGAGCCTGTGGTTCAGCACCCGTTTGCACAGTGTAACTCTAACTCCCGGTCAAGAGAGTCTTGGGACACTTCCTCTCCAGAGACATGACATGAAGCTTACCTTGCTCAGTCTGAACGTTTAGCCACTGATTCCTTTATTTGTCTAGAAACTGGTCAGTCCATCCTTTCAGTGACTTTTTTTTTTAAATGTCAACTTCATGTTTACACTAGTCCCGGCCTCAAGGCATATCAGACTTTTCCTGGTGCCGAGTTCAGCTAGAGTGACACAAGCCAGATGACATCATCCCATGTGGATCCACGTGGAGACGCAGTGGCTGATGGGAAAGGCCCAGAGCAAAGGCTCCTGTCCCCTCCCCTCTTACTAAAGCCTGAATTTTAGGCTTCCTTCTTCAAGACAAAGGAAAACACAATGACAAACAAGAATGACTTCAAAAGAACAAAAGATAAAAACTTAAACAAACGAAAAACCTGGATCCCCACCCCCACCCCGCCCCATGCGCGCAAACGGGAGGAGGGTAGTGGGAAACAATCCCAAAACTCTTGCCTTCCCAAACAGCCAGGCTTCTCTCCATTCGACCGATCTCTATTTAGCTCCTCAGTAAGTTTGGAGTTGGAAGTGGAGGTAAAAGTTGTTCAATATGGAGCAACAATAAAAATTTAGATAGTGGTGGCCAGCATTTGGGACTGTGGGGATAGGGAGTGGCCAAGATGACCGGTCAGAGTTGGAAGAAAGCCCTCTCCCTGGAATCCTTCCTGCCCTCCATAGGGGATCTCTGGTGAGTTAGTACAATAGCTATCGCTGGTCTCTCTGGTTTAACCCATCATTTCTCTTGTACTTTCTTTCCTAGGACTAGGAACATAAAACTTCTAAGGTTTGCTTACAGTTGTTGATTTTTTTATTGTGCTGTGTGGAGACGTTCTTCAAACTATCACCATTGTTTCATAAAACGAAAAGTGCTTTAATGCACGCATATGCAAAATACAAAGGACACAATGGAATATTTTTTCAAATATTTGATCTTATTTGACTTCATCTTAACTATTCCTTAGGCTTTTATTCATTTTTTCATTTAGTTTTGCAGAAAACATTTATAAAACTCTGAAATACGGAGCAGAACATGATCGTGCTCCTGACCTCAATATCTCAAGCGTCCAAGGAAAGTCAAGCAGATGATCTCAAATACAGACAGAACAACTTGTGTGGGGTAGAGGGACTTTTGCAATAATAAGGGGGAAAGGCAGAAGCAATGTAAAACAGCGGTTTGTACTCCAGAAGGGAAGGTGCATGTCTGTAATCTCAGCATTAAGGATGCTGAGGCAGAGGAGGACACAATCGAGGCCAGCTTGGTCTACATAATGGGACTCTATCTCAGCAAGCAAGCTGGAAAGAGAGCTCAGCCGATTGGAGCACATACTGCCCTTCCGGAAGACTTCAAGTCAGTATCCACCACCTGCCTCTAGGCTCACAGCTGCCTATAACTCCAGTTCCTGCGGGTCTGGCGCCCTCTTCTGGTCTCTATGGGCACCACACAAGTACGTTGGTATACACACACACACACACACACACACACACACACATACACACACACACACACACACACACAGATAAAATAAAAACAAAGAAAAACAAAATCTCATTTGTTTCTCAGCAGAACTGCAAGGAACACCACAGCCTGTCACATTCCTCTGAGCACATGCTATTTGATTTAGGACAAAACTGGCACTATACCTCGGAGACCCTGCAGCTTTCAAGACTCTCATCTAGTTACAGGAAACCACAGGACTAGGGTTCTATCTTACGTGTAATACATCAACCAGCTGGTGGGCACCCCCCAATGGGCAGGCAGGAGTCCCTTGTGTGGGGTATGTGATTGAATGGCTTTGCACACATGTACGAGTTGCAGGAGTCGAGCAAGGCGAAGGCTCTGCTGTCATGGGGACAGTGCTGTAGGATTTGGTGTCAGGTAGGAGATGGGGGAACTTGGGGCACTTTCTCAAGACACACAGCAGAAAGGCACTGGAGAACAATGGCAGTCCTAAGGAAGGAAGTTTCTGGATTGTGACCCTGAATGAGGCTCAGGGACAAAAAGGCACAGAGGTATTCCGATCATCTAGTTCTGAAATGTCCCCAAGGGGGCAGGGAATGCCACCATAGTGAGGAACGCATAAACGTTTTTATAAGGGGAGAAGACACAAAAAGAGGTACAACGGACAGTCACCCCTCCTAAAGGTATCTTATTTGAAGGACAATGTGAATTATGTGCATTGTCTTACATTATATAATCACCTAAGTCAGAGGCATGGTTGATGAATTAATTCTCTTCCCTCCTTGCCCCACCATAACTCTTGTCAAACGGATCTAGAACTTTCACACAAATTTTCACCCTTACGAATAATCAAAGCCTGCACAGATCACCTGAATGAGTATCGCCGTTCCAGCGTCTTTGACTCTCTAAAAAAACAAAAATCAAAAAACAAAACAAAACAAAACAAAAAACACCCAAGTACACCGTATGGCAGTGGTAGCGGAACGCAGGAGAACTGTCCACTCTGACACGCTTTTCATTTCAGGTTTCGTCCCCGTATGCCATAAAACAGAAGGGTCCGCACCGGATTAGGAACAGGTTTGTCCTCCCCCGCCCTCCTCAGTCCTCCCGCGAACGTAGCCACCCAAACATCCTGGAGAAAGGCCCAGCCTGAGCTAGAATCCGCAGAGGATGCGGGTCTCAGCGCCTCTGCAAAGCTCAAGAATGGCAGCGATCAGGCTGGGGTGGGAGCGAGGAAACCTAGAGGTGCCCGAAGCTGGTGCCGACGCTGGGGCAGGGTAACGATTGCCTCACAAGAGAGAGGCGGGGAGAGGGTTTCCAGGTCTCCGAAGTCTCCCTTGGTTCTTCCTGGGTGCAGCCAGAGGTACCGAGGGGGCTCGGCGATCTCTGAAGTTTGAGTCAGCCTAGGGAGCGAGCTTCTTACCTGGCCAGGGTGGGTGGTGTGGTTGAAGGAGTAGATGTGCTCGGTGCTGAGGTTCACCACCCCGTTGTAGACATGATCAAAGTCGGCGGCCCTGGCGGGGTCGCGGGGATCACGGAGCAGCTCTGTGGACTGGGCAAAGGGCTCTCCGGGGTGGCCGGGGACCGCCGCCCGCAGGAGCCAGGGCAGCGCGCAGAGCAGCGCCAGCCGTGGGCAACCGAGCATGGTGGGCGCCTCGCCCCGGGGGCCCGGAAACACAAGCAGCCCGAGCAGGGGGCGAGCACGGAGGTGGTCCTTCCAAAGTCGCCTGCGGGGCTGGGCTCCGGCTTCAGCAGCTGGGTGGTGTGTGACCGAACGCCCACAGCAGTCTGGAGAGGAGCAGATCAAATACTGATGTGCCACCTGGGGTCTCCAAAGGAGGTCACGCGTATGGAGTAGGGGTACCGCGAGACGTGGGGACCAGCGAAGGCTGCTTTCCCCTTCGGCTTTGAAGTCTTCCTCTCCTCATCGCTGAGAACCCTCCACTTACCAGAGAGAATTTTCACTGATCTCTTCCCTCTTAACCGCAAAACAATAACAAACCCCTCAGAGAAGTAGCTGCTAGTCTAGAAGAATCTATGTGACTGGCCATCAAGGAGGAAATCGGGTGCAAGATATAATGAATATGCTCTCTAGCTGCAGGCAAGCGAACAGAAAGCAAAAGAGTGTGCCCTCTCAAGGGGGTGCCCCGTTTGCCTTTCCGCTCTACCTGCAGGACTCTTGCAGGTGTGAAATGCCTGGCTATGCGCCCTGCTCTCACAGAAGCCCTTCTCAGACACCTGTGATTTCCTTATTACTCTTGCTCTCCACAGAGACTCAACGTCATCTCTCCCTTGCCATATGTGCGTGTATGTAAATATGCACAGCTACAAAAAAATATATATGATTAAGAGAACAGTCCGCAGCTCAGCCTCAAGACTGCTTCCGTAAGGGATCAACCAGGATTCAGTGGCCATATTTAGGCAGATACCTTTTCTTTCCACCCAAACCTTTTGAACCTTTGAATTTGGCAATATTTTGTTTCCGATTCTGGAAGAATTTTTAGGATTCTAAGTTGCATTTTTGTTCTTTTTAATTTAATTTTTTCTTTCTTTCCCCCTCCCCCCCCTCTTTTTTTTGGTAGGGTCTTACTGTATAGTCCATACTGGCCTTGAACTCGAGATCTTTCCTCCTCAATCTTCCAAGTGCTGTGATTTCAAAGGTGTGCCAAACTCACCCCCGAGGTTCTTGAGAAACACCGCACAATGAGCCAGAATTGGGGTGACTTTAAACTGCAGCATTGAAAATATTTATGCCACTTCTGCAAAGTTCAATGAAATTTAATCTGAAGGCCTTTGAGGTTCGCTGCAGTAGCCAGTTCAAACAGTCTTTGACTTGAAGACTCCGCCTCAAACTTTATGGGACCTGGAAACAGGCATCTCACAGGTTCTTTTGCGGTCTAACATCTCCTTATTAGAAAGATAATTCATACTTTCAGATGAAATCAGCCTTCCTCCCATTCACTGAGTCCTGCCCTCTAGAGCCACAGGAATAAAGTCAATTCTTCCACATGACGGCTTTGCAGGTATGCAAAGGGAACTATGACCTTTCGAAGGATCTTTCAAGGTTTTATCCATCTAGAATTTGACTTTTATCCACAGAAAACAGCTATGCAGTTAAATGCAACTGAAAACACTCTGTTTTATCCTAATAGAGGAGAATGCGGGTGTGGCCTCCGCACGCCCTTAGCTTGAGCCGCCAGCACAAACCATCACGGTTCTCATTCCACCACATCCGTTTGGACAAACCAGGTAAAATCATCCTTCCTTCTGGAATTTGACTTTGATTCACAGAGAACAGCTCTACAATTAGACGCAACTGAAAAGATCTTTGGATCATCGTATGAAGTTAGTACTAAATAAAAAGTACTTTTTTTTAATTAATATAGGTGGTCTGTGTACTAGAAATTGGAGATACAGATGATGTACGATTCTGTACTATGATAATCCTGAGTCTAGCCCTCATCCACAGAAGAGGATCCGTTCTACCTCGACTAAAGGTCAGAGAATTCAGACCTACTCTTGCCCCTTCAAGGTTATTGTCAGGAGGTTTGACCCAGGGTGTGGCTGCCTACAGGATGCTTGGCCTAAGGTGTGGTTGCTTCATTTCCTGCCTAAACAACAGAATACTTAGCTTAGGATATAGTTACTTGATGTGTCGGGTATTGAAGAGGTAATTATTGCTTGTTCTTTGTATCTTGGTAAAGCAGTCTTCTGCCTTCCTCCCCCTTTTGGTTTGGGGTATATAAAGCATATGGAAAATAAAAGCGGGCAGATTCAGTGTTCACTGGGTTGCCCTCCCAACTCTACTCTGTGTCTCTGTATATTTCTTTTGTGTCTCTGTCTTTTCTGCCTAACATTTCTAATCTACACGCCCTGCCCTGAAACATATGAACCCATCGAGGCTGGACCACGACAATCCACTGAATGAGCTAGGCTAATTGTCATCTCAGAGTCACAAGTTATCATAAGGATAAGGAGGAAGAATGCACTTAGCAGTATATTTAAAAAATGGAATGGTTTATGAACGAGTATTAGTCTGTGAATATTATTGTATGAGTGCAGGCTAATAGTTAAAAAATGTATCCTATCAGGCAGTCACTTAAAAATATTTATTCACTTTTCTGTGTTTGAGTGTTTTGTCTTCATGTATGTCTGTGCGCCATGTGCGTTCCTGGTGCCTGGTCTTCTGAGAGTGGAGTTCCAGACCCTTATGAGCAGTTGTGTGGGTGCTGAGACTCAAACCCAGGGCCTCTGGAAGAGTAGACAGTGCTCTTAACTTCTGAGCCATCTCTCCAGCCCCATCACTTTTAATATTAACAATGCTAAAACCTCACAGTGAAGACAGAATGTCCAAACGGCCATTGGCTGTGTAACCTGGAGAATACTTTCTGTAGCAGTCAGCTCAGGAGGCCAGCCTTAACAGCAAACAACCCAGAAGGCAAAAACCATAACCTTGGCAGCAAGTGGTACAGACTCTGGGAACTGGTACAGTGAGTCAGTTGGCTTTTGTCCTGATTTCCACATGGATTCATCAGAGGCCAGCAAGCTCCCAACATGGTACACGGCTTCTGGCCTGCCCTCAGTGTCTCTGTACCAGGAGCCAATCAGAGCCTTCCAAAGCCTTCCCTTATTTTCATCACGCCAGATCAATGCATCAGGGTAATGAACACTTGCAAGCAAAGATGAATGGACTCAATGGGCCACTATAGCTTCCACAACAAGATTCTTCCTCTTCTATTTAAAATTTTATTTTTTGTTTTGTTTTGTTTCATTTTGGGTTTTCTCTTAAATTTAATTTTGGTTTGAGGTGGGGGAGGGGAAGGTTGCAAGGACAAAGGGCAAATGTGAGGAGACAAGGAGCTAAGTGGGATTAGAATGCATGATGAGAGATCCACAAAGAATCAATAAAAGTTTTTGGTTTTTTTTAAAAAATAGGTAAGCTATGCCCAGTGTAATGCAAAACAAAACAAAAACCAAATAAAACTGCTTTTGTGTCTCACTGAAAGAAGTCTTACTAGGTACTGTCATCAGGAAACGCAGCAGTGAAACTCCAGCATGCCATCACTGACTTCATGTTTTACAACTGCAAGTAGCATTTTCTTTAATGAAATGTCTGAGATAATATACACATACTGGTTTTTTTTCTCACCAGTAAAATCTAGAGACCCTACAACAGCAAGACTTCAACACTCCCCTCTCACCTGGTCTTCTGAGAGTGGAGTTCCAGACCCTTATGAGAGGTCGTGTGGGTGCTGAGACACGACCAATTGACTGGACAGGTCAATCAGGCAAAAAATTAACAGAAATAAGGGAACTAACAGATGTTATGACTGAAATGGACTTAATAGGCATTTATAGAACATTCCATCCAAACAGAAAAGAATATACCTTCTTCCCAGAACCTCATGGAACCTTCTCAAAAATTGACCACATACTCGGTAATAAACCAAACCTCAACAGAAACAAAAACATTGGAATAACCCCATGTGTGGAGGGCCGGACCACATTCTCCATTGCTTCTAGGAACAAAGATAGAGATTGACCTCTGTGACCCCAAGGTGTGGCGGTACACGCCTTTA